GCCTCAGCCTGGTGAGAATGTCAGGGACCCACCATCCAGGCATGGGGCCTCTACCCCTTGCTAGCATTAATCCCTTTCTCTCCTCCTGGTCATCAAAATCCCATTAAAAAAATAACATTACAATAATAGTAACATTATTTTAATCTACACACATTTTTACCATCATTTAAAAGCTTGTTTTTGAGATTATCATTGGAAACTCTCACTATCTAAGAATTATCAGAAAAAGAGAGGAAAAGAAGGGAGAGAGAGAGAGAAAAAAAAAAGAGGCAGCCACAAGAGACGGGGAAGCTCTGCTTTGCTGCTTTGTCAGGGAGAAGAAAATAAAGAGAAATCAGCCCAGCTTCAAAGGGCGCATTTCCATAATTGCCCTGTAACTTTGGCAAAATAAATCTGAGCGGCTGAGAGAAGCACAATCTGCCAGATGAGTGCACTCCAAAGGCCCCGGAGGGCTGCAGCCCACTTGTTAGAGGCCTAGTGCAGTGAGAGAATGCAGGGCTTGCCACCCGGCACAAAAGCCATGAAATCATGGCCTTCCCAGCCAGGCTGGCTGGTCAGACCTGACCCTGCCTTTGTCTCTCTCCTGCTCCCTGACATGGGAGACACACACACACACACACACACACACACCCCTCGGTAAAACAAGCAAGCGAGTAAATAAACAGATGCATTTATGTGCAGAGAAAAACTGGCAGCAGCTAGGGGCTGGGGGTAATTTCAAGGCAAAAACCACTGGACTCCAACTTTCATCTTCGAGAATGTTTGTCACCTACCCCTGACATCAGTATCCAAGGGAGAAAGGCCCAACTTTGCAGACATGCATCCTCTTTGGGGCTGGCTGGTTCCCTTTCACCTTCAGGTGGAGAAAATTCTGCTGACAAACCTGATATGAGCTCTATTCTGTCATTTTCCCAGGTATGATGAGTTTCCTGTTGGCTCTCTCTCACCCTTACTTCCTTCTTCCAAGGCCAACTTTTTAAAGAACAAAAATGTTCCACTTAGCACCCCGTTTTAATATTTCTCTTGACATAGCTGTGGCTTCTGGGAGAAAACACTTCTGTGACCACCCAGACACTTCTCCATCCTCAACGCCAGAGGTTCTCAACCTCAGCACTACTGACATCTTGGGTTGAATGATTTTCTAGTCTAAGTACTCGCCACATCTGACTTGATGGCTGATGAGATCAAGTGTGTTCACAGTGGTCACTGTAGGCTGGACTGGGTCATTCTTTGTGGTGGAACATTGTATGGTGTCTTCTAGGACCTTCAGCAGTGTCCCTGGCCTATACTCCCATAAGATTTCGGTAGCACCCCAATTCTAGTCATCTCCAGACATTGTCAAATGTTTCCAGGGTGAAAGGAGAGACAGCATTGCCTAGATGAGAATAGACTACTCTATTCCCAAGACCTCTCCCAGCTGTGCCCTACCTGAGGAATGGATGCTCTTACAGTGGTTTCCAATTCATGCAGAGGGAATGGCCTTCAGAGGGGCTAGGACTTCCTCAGAGGAAAGCAGCAGCCACATCGAAGCTAGGTTGGTCACACACAACAGATTGCCATTTTTAATGTGGTCAAGGTAGCCTGCTGGGTCAGATGACAGTGGCCAATTAGAACCAAGAGGAATATCCAGAGAACATGAGGGGCCCCTTAACCCCCACAATGATCTTTGAACCCACTCTTCTCTACGCCTGATCCTGGATGTGGTTGGATTTGTAAAAATGTTTGCATAAATTCATCTAATACACTCTTCCGTTTTCCAGATGTCGAAAGTGGGGCCTAGAGACAGTATGAGACTTGTCCTCACTTAAAGCAGAAGTAAGTGTAAAACACCTGCAGTTACCCACTTTTGCCGCTTATGGGTAGAGAGAACCTGCAAAAAAAAAACAATTCTAGGTTACAGAGGACATTTCTAGAAGGACACAAACATTTAAACCCAAACACAGTCACTGGCCAAAATTCTCAATAATAAACCAAACCAAATCAAACCACACCAATCAAACAAACAAATAGGAAATGAGGTCCACTTCCTTTCTGTGGAAGCAGTCAATCATTCTGGCTAACTTTCAAGAATAGCAGGGCCTTTGGGCTGGCCTGGTCTCCAGATCCCCAGAGAATACCAGCCCAGTAGGTGCAACTGACACCTCCTCACTCTTCACCTGGCAGGTTAGTGGTCCTCTGTGCTCAGCCTCTGGGCCTCCCTTCCATGGTACCTTCCTCCTCCTCCTTCCCCTGAAAACATTCAATTGGAAACCATTATGGTGCTGGTCCCCGAGGTGGATGGTCAGTTAGGGAGATCATTTTCTTTTCCTCTGGCTCCCTGGTCCTGTGATGCAGTTCCCCCTCCCCCAGCTCTGTGCAGATAATGAGGGAAGCAGCCGCACAGCCCTTCCTCTGACCTAATTGATTATCCCTATACACCTTGAGTGCTTTGCATAACCAACCCAGACAGCAGAAACCCCTTCCTGGCGGGTGATTGACATATTTTATTTCTAATTGAAGCTTAATCAGAACCATATATACCCATATTCACTCTCCCCCCACTACTTTTCTTTTACATTTTAAGGCCCAGCAATAAGGCATAGAGGCAGTTCTTGGAGTCCCTGGGAAGGTGAGGGCTGAGGGGGAGAGCTTGGGAAGACAAGAAATTAGACTGCTGTCTCTGGGGAGATGCCGGAGCCGTGAAAGGGAGCGGCCTGCTCTTCCTTCTCTGCTGAAAAGCTAAGACGATCTTGTTTTGATGAGATGGTCTTCCTGGGGTCGATTTGGGGCCATTTCATGAACCCAAGTCTTGTATGGGATAAGAGAAGACATCCCCCACACGAGTCACACCCAGATTTATGCCAGCTCTCCCTGGTACCTACATGTGCTGCTCTTGCAGTGGGGTAGAATTGATCATTACCCCTGGAATGTGATGGTTGGAAAAGCTGACTTAGTTTCCCCTGGCAAGAGCCCTGTCGCCCTTAATCGGACCTCTCCCAGTTGGCACAGCCTCTCCATGTCCATCTCATTCCCTGGGTGGGTGTTCAGTGAGGACAGTTAGCTGCTTAACTTCTGTGGTTGTGACCATGTTCACAGCCCTCCCCTGCTGGGCCACTGCCCGGAAGTTGCCTTTTTCCCCTGGGTTGAGTTGGGTTTGCAGAGGGCCAGGAGCTGCCCAAAGGCAGACACCCCATCTTTCTGGCTAAAAGGAGGGTGTGCAGGACACTGCTGGAGAGTTTGCGGTGGGGTCTGGGATTTGGAAGGCTGTGACATAGTCAGCACAGGGCATGCTTTGCTCTCACCATCACCACCATCACCTGCCAGGAAGGCAGCATTGCCTCCACCCTTTAGTTGAGAAAGTAAAGGCACAGAGAAATCAATCCTCTGCCTAGTTTCCCAGAAGGTAAATGGGGAGCTGGGTAAGTCTGTGAGGCTGCACTGGGGAGTTTCTAGGGTGTGGATCTTGTTGAGAAAATCATGGTTCTAGCCTCAGCCTGGTCTCTGGTCCCAGCCTCAGGGTCGTGGACCACACAGTTGAAATTCTCCCACCACGGTCAGAGCTGGCTCCACTTTTCGGGGTTGCTGCATGCGTGGATTCAGTGAAACCTCAGTTATCACTTGCAGCCTGGGAAGGAGCTGAACCCCAAAGACACGGTGGACAAAAGGGCGAAGAGGAGGAAGACGCCCAGACGTCTCCTGTGAATGGGAAGGGACCAGGGGAGCAGCGAGGCTGGCTGCAGGTTGCCCTTGCCAGGGGTCCGCCTCCACGTTGCCAGCCCAACGTAGCTGACGCCCAGTCCCCACTCACCCCTGGCAGCGGCGCTCCAAACGCCCCAGCCTCAGTGCAAGTCCCGAGGGCCGCGGCGCTAGCAGCTCGCCACACTGTCCAGCTCCCTCCGAGCCTCGAAGGTGGACGGTATCACTCTGGGCCTTGCTCCGTGGCTTCGGGTGTACGAGCTCTGCCCACACCTCCTGGGAGCCTGAGAGATGGCCCCACACTGGACGTCAGGCTGTTTACTACCGTGGGGAAGAAGAGTGCAAAAAGATGCCCACATCTGGTGCCCCGAGGCGTTTCTCTCCTAGGCATCCCCCACAACGACTTCAAGTCAAAGGTGGGCAAGACTGGCTGGGGAACTCAAAGAGGAAAAAGAGCAAGGACGGGCACCACGCCGGCGGCGGAGCCTGGCTGCCGGGCCGCGGAGGTGAGGAGCAGAGCGTCCCTTTCGTCCTGTAGAGGGAGCTCCAGCCCCAAATTTCCCGGTTCCCTCCGGGGCCCATCCACCCCCGCCCGCATCCATCCGGAATCAGGCAGCGAAGGTGCAGCCGGACTTCACGAAACCCGGCGCGGAGACCTTGCCGAGCTGCTCCTTCCAGGGCACAAAGGCAAGAGGGGAGAGCCCTCCACCTGTCCACTGCAGCAGGCGCACGGCTTTCCTTGAGACGGATTGGTATCCCAGGCTCCTCTCGCCCCCACCCCTCAATCCTAGCCTCTGTAAGGAGGGCGCAGCGCGTTGGAAAGGGGCCTCGAAGCTGAGCCTGCACCGCCCCTTTTACGTAAAACTGAGAAGACCTCGACTGTGCGCGTGAAAGAATGGGAGCCGGGAGAGATGGGCAGCACCTCCCGGGAGAAGCCCCCGTGTCCACACGCTCCCTGAAGTCTTTCTGCTGCGTCGCTAGAGAAGGCCCCAAGGCCTTGCTGCGGCTTCCTCAGACCGGCGGCGGGTGGGACCCAGCTTCCCAGCTCTTAGCAGGGAATCTCAGATTTCTCCACGCCGCAGCCTCATCTCCGAGACGCTCGAAAGTGCTCCCACTGCTTCACCCCCAGTGGTGTCCCCATTCCCGCCACATTCCGTCCCTTGACCACAGGTTCGGGTCTCACTCGTCCCTTCCTAATGGTTTGGGAAATTCTTCAGAATTTCAGAATTCCAGAGGTGGAAAAAACCAACAGAAACCAAAACCAACCCCCAAAGAACCACCAAACAGAGCCACCCCTGGGCAGACAGGCCGGTTGTATAGTCAAAGTGGCAACAGCTCATTTATTTAGCCAAAAATAGATACTTTCTTGTACAATTTGGTTCACACATATGTACATTTATCTGTATATACAAAAATGTCAGATATGCTTATTCTCCATGAACACCCTCCCCCCCATCAACCGAACAAAGCACCTCACAGTCACATCGAATGTGGGGTGGCACAGAAGCGACTTGAAGTTCGAGGGGGACAGGTTTTATTTCTTTTTCTTTCTTTTTGTTAAGTTCTCTTTTTGGGTATTCATACACGGACATGCTTGCAAGTCGTTAACTATACAGAGGGATTTTTTTTTTACAATTATTACAACAATTTAAAATTTCTTTCGTCTTTCTTTCCTTTCTTTCTTTTTTTAAAAATTTTTATTTTTAAACAAGCTAGGATGAGGAGAGAGCTGATAAGACCAGAGCGGCGTCCAGGTGGTTCTGGGCCCTGGAAGAGAGAGACAGTGGTAGCAAAGAAGGTGAGATTTCAGGAGGCCGAGGCCACCTATGGCCAGGAGACCCTGCCTGGGACTAGAGCTAGGGGCAAGGAGGCATCTCATTGAGCAAAACAATGCTCAGTTGTGGATGTAGGAGATGAGGTTTAACCAGGATTAGCAGTAGGCATCAGGACTGAAGTCTAGGCAGGAAGGCGGTGGGCACCACAGACCGGCCCCTTGCTCCAGGGCCCTCTTAGGCCCGGCAGGCTCGGTAAAGCCAGCAGTTTGTGAGTTTGCAAGAAGCGAAGGATTGAGTTTTGTCACCCTTTTAAAAATGCTTCCCAGCCACGTTCCCCCTCGAGGCAAAAGACCACGGGTTTGGCTCCGCTGCTTAGGGTTCCCTCTGGCCGATCTCCCCGCCCCCTCCTCAAGCTCCGGGTCTCTTACCGCCTGGGCACGGGCTGGAAAGCTGTCTTGAGTAACTTTTTCTCCACTTCCAAGGCACTACAGCGATCTGGAGGAAGCGAGGGTAAGAAAAAGGAGGGCCTTTAGAGAGCTCGGCTCAAGCGCTCAGGGCCGCAGGGCGCAGAAACAGAGAGGAAAGCACGCGGTCCCCCTGGCAGCCCCAGCGCGACCCCCAGACCCCCTCCCTCTGCGCCCTGGGGGCCGCAATCACCTGTTCCGCCCTCCGGCTCGGAGGGTCGAGCATAGGCGGCTGCCG